GATACCCATGTTTGCTTTGAAAGTTTATCCCTTTAACACCTCTCTGAAAGATAACAAACCAGATCCCCTGGACTGTGGAGAGAATGCCTGTATAGTCTTCTGACAGTTAAAAGGACTTTTATGTTCTGCTGTTGGACACTCCTAGTATCATTTCCTTTTCTTCCTTTTTGTGCATCAAAGAGAAAGAAATGCACTGGGGCTCCTTACTCAGAAACATGGAGATCAACACAGGCTCCCTTAGGTATTACAGTCAGCCATCAGATTCAGTAGCTGAGGGACTCCTTTACCTGCCTAAGAGCTGCATCAGCCACAGTGGCTTTAACTACATCCACAGAAAGGCATTCATGGGCTCTCACTAACTATGCACTTCCTGAAGCTGTAGGAGCTTTATTCAACTCTTGTCAAATGCAACAGCTTTCTGCAAGCAAATTCACTTCCTATGAGATCTTGTTCACCTTCTCATGCGAGCATACTTTGAAATGCTCATGGAAGATGGAATTGAATGATAAGTTTATTTTGGTACAACAATTTTGGAATCTGTGTTTTTTTTTATATATTCATTTTACATCAACTGTTAGAAGACTTATTATTCTTTCCTGCTGTGGTAAGCTTAATCCAACAACCATCTTTCCTGTACCTGATGATAAAGTGCCTCATGATTGCCTAACTGGCTACCAAAACCTAGAGTTTATTTACATAAACCTCCTATCTCAAACACATAATGTTTGTGGTTTAATGGTGGATCATACATGGTAGATAATGAAGGAAATATTACCCTGAATGTGCTATTAGCACCTACCTTTTTGGAGTAGTTGAAGCAACCCTGCTGCCAATGGCTACTTGAGCCCAAAAAGCAGAACTCTATGCCTAACTAGAACTTGAAAGGTAAACTAAATATTGACAACATAGCAGTTATGCCCTTGGGCATGTTCATGGTGTTGACATGCTTTGGAAACAGAATTTGTGCTCTCTAGTGGAAAGTAAATTAAAAATAGTACATTTGTTGATAATTTATTAAATTCCATTCAGCTGCTCTCTGCTTTAGCCATAATCAAATTTCTGGGCACTAAAAACTGGAATCTGATGAAGCTACAGATACAAATTGGCTGATACAGCAAAAACATCTGCCTTGAGTTCCAGTATGGCTGAAATCTTGTAGGTATTATTGATCATGCCTTTCCCAATGTTTAAATGATGTTAAACATGCCCAGTCTTGATTACCACATAAAAATTTTATGGGCCAGCATTGTGGAATAGTGGATAAAGCTGCAGCAGTGTCCCATATGGGTGCCAGTACATATCCTGGCTGCTCCACTTCTGATCCAACTCCCTGCTAATGTGCCTGGGAAAAGCAGTGGAAGATGGCTGTAGTGTCTCTCCATGTGGGAGACCCAGATGAAGCTCCTGGCTTCAGCCTGCCCCCGCCTGGCCATTGAGGACCATCTAATGAGTGAACCAGCAAATGGACGACCTCTCTCTCTGTGTTTCTCCCTCTGTAACTCTGACTTTCAAATAAGTAGATAAATCTTTGAAAAATGTTTTGTTTCATGTGATTGATGATTGCATTTTTGCCCGACCACAAATTTATGGTGTGGTTCCTATAATAAACCAATATTTCCAGAATCTGTGAATAAAGCCCTACCAAAAATGACACATCAGATGACTCATTGGGCAAATGATAGACTAGTAAGTTTTATGAAACAGTGTTGGAGGGGAAACATTTCAGAGGCTGTCAGAAAGGCACAGCTTTCTTGTACTACTTGTCTATAATTCAACTAGACAAGACAATCAAGACAGTTCAGGTCATTTTGACCTGCCTAATAGGCCCTTTTAGGTTTGGCAAAGGATTTCTGTCCAGCTGCCTCCCTCTCAAGGTTGTAAATATGTTCTTTTTATGTGTTATATGTTTCCCATTGGGTAGAAGCATTCCCTTCCTGGTGCGCCATTGCCTCAGCAAAACTGTTATTAGAACAGATTATTTCTACATGGAGCATTCCTTCTGAGTTACACAGTGACTGTAGAACTCACTTCACTGGCCAGGTGATACAACAAATGTGCAGTGTTTGGTACATATTACAACGCTTACATTGCAACTATAATCCCTGTTCTTCCAGATTGGCAGAGTAAATAGCATCGTCCAAATTCAAGTGACAAAATTTATGTATGCATTAAAATTGCCCAGCCAAAAGCACTGCTTTTGGTTCGATTGAAACTAAGGATCGTACCTTTTGTAAAATATAAGTTGTCACTTTTTGACATTATAACTGGATGGCAGATACATTAACCTGCTCTGCTTTTGAGAGCCACTTGATTAAAGGAGACATTCTCTAGTATTTCCAGGGAATAAATAGGACTACAGATAAAAAGCCACTCCTTGGTAAAACAGTCTTTTCACAGTGAGCTCATGGGGAGATAAAGAAACCAAACATCCCGCCCTTCCATTTGGTGATTGTGTCTATTGGAATGAGCATTTCTAAGATTTCCACCCAGTGTGATGGAAAGTACATATCAGGCCCTCTTCACCAACCCCTGTGCTGCCAAACTAAAAGGTTTTGATTCTTGAATGAATGTTGCTCATGTATAGAAAGCTCCTAGTCCCTGCTGGAACCCAGAAACTTGAAGCCAAACTGACCGAGAAATAAAGCAGACAACTGCAAAGTGGAGACTGCTCACCTCAGACCTCCAGACCAGTGTCTGATTAATCTCCTGATGGAGTTGGCCTTTTATGTGTTGCCTTCACTACAGTCTTAGCTTTTGCCTTCTAGTCCCTCACACTACAGTTACACTGAATTATATCTTGGCAGAGTGAGCAAATATTTGCACTGTAGCCAATATCTCCTGTTACACTTGGATAAATATTTCTGACAAAGTAGACACTGAGTTGGAAAGAGTCTATGCATGTGCTAATTAGTTAAGTAGAAGCACTATTGGATGTTTGACTTTCTGAGTTCTTCAGCTAACTGCCTTCTAAAGTCAGAATGTGGCTAGCATTGAGTCTTCAACTTTTGTTACCCACTGTGTTTATTGGAATGCTTAAGCTACTCTTGTCACTCCTTACTCAAATCTGCTTAGAAATAAAAGTTTCACCAAGGTCATATAGTGGTCAGTCAAGCTTACGATTCAGAGAAGACATCAGTATGGCAACTTTTTTGGGACCTAAGCAGGCTTGAGAGCTCTCTTCTCAAAACCTCCTTGTTGGTTGACTGTGGCCCTGTCTAGCTCTTCACTTCTTCAAACCATGAGATCCTCTCTGAGGCAAGTCCACCCCTGTAATGAGGACAACTCAGATGTGCTGGCTGACCAGTGATGCTTTCTAGAGAGAAATCTTGATCAAAATGGGGAAGTGTGAAAGAAAATGACGTACCCAAGACTAAAGCTTTCTAAAGCAGGGTCTGGAGATGGGGAAAGGATTGTTCTCCCCTGCTAAAGTTAAATCCATAAACATAGGCAAGCAGCTAACATTGGTATTCATCAGCCTTTAATATCTCGCAACTGGCAATGCCCTAGCACACTAACCAATCAGCATGGGTTTGTGATTTAGGATTTCTGCCGAGCCAGCAAGCTGCCTCTGAAATTGACTTTTTGTGGAAATTCCCTATAGGAAAAGTTCTGCTGTGCTGCCATTGGTCAATTCTAGCTGGTGGTCATGTCTTTGTCATGTCTTTATGGGGATGTTAACTTGCCTACTCTGTGGTTTTCATTCATTTTGCTTGGCTATGTACAGGCATGGAGAAAGTGCTAGGTTCATCTGTGATTGCAGTTCTGCCAGGTGACTTGGTCAAAGGAAGGAAGAGGAAGAACATTGATTGGTTCTATGAGCTAATAGTGGGCTGTGGACTCTATGGTGGATGAGGAGGAAGATGGAGACAGGATCAGGAGATGGAGGAGTTGGGTTGGCTATCATGATGGAGGTAGAGGATGGGCAACATGTGGGCTGTTGAAGAACCGGTGGGAAGGAAAGCATAGACTTTCCATTAGATGCCTGTTGTTACAGGAAAATGAGGGTATATTTGAGGCCTTTCAGGATTCTGAGTGGATTGGTAGAGGGTGTTTTACAGAAATAAAGAGGATGAAGAGGTGAAAAGCCATGGCTTCAGTAATGGAGCCCTAAGAATGAGAGTTGTTAGGAATTGAACCAGAGAAGCAAGTAAACTGATGTCTTTGGGAAATCATGAGTGTCCGAAGATGAGAGTGAAAAGGAGGAGAGCATGGTGCATCCATGCTCTGAGCTGCATTATTCACTGTGTACACTGTCACATAGTGCACTTGAAATGTGTGACGTCCGTATATCTCAAAGGTTACCCTGGACTTAAGGGTTCCAATTTGTTTCTTGCTCTGGATTTGACTCTTGTGACTTCTCTTTTTATGACTTTCCCCATTTATCTATTAGAATTTTAGTTTTTTTCTTATTTATTAGACAAGTAATATATATATTATAATATTATTTTCTTCTATCTGTTGCAAATATTTTTTAAATTTCTAACGATAGTTTAGGGGGTTATGGTAACACAGAAATTAGGACCATGTATAGAATCTGTGCTATTTTTTTAGATTTGTTTATTTGAAAGGCAGAATTACAGAGAGAGAGCCAGAGCAAGGGTGAGCAAGAGAGAGAGATTTTCCATCTACTGATTAACTCACCAAACGGCTGCAATGGCTGAAGCTGGGCCAGGCTGAAGCTAGCAGCCTAGAATTTCATTGGGGTCTCCCACATTGGAAGTGGGGCAATTGGGACTTGAATCTGTATCTATATGGGATGGCAACATTGCAGGCAGTGACTTAACCCATCACTGCATCACAGTACAGGCCCCAAATATGTACATTTTTAAGTATGTTATCTATGTTTTTTCCTTTATTAATTTGAAATTTAATACATACTCTAAAACCAAATATTAAATTAAAATTGGTAATATTTTATCATATACTTTTAAAGTTTTGACAATTGTTTATTTGTTCCTCTGAATTTTCTGAAGTAGTTTTCTAGAATTTTCTTTCCATAGAGTCACCTAGGAGGATTTCATTTCCCTTTGCTATGAGCTACCAATGTGACCTCAACCAGATTACAGAATCCCTGACATTTTAACCATATGCTCTCACAAGCTGTGTGCATGGCTCCGCCGCATCCTTGCTTCTCCTTCATGGCTCTGCTCAGAGACCTTCATCAAGAATCATCTCCACTCTACTTGCCCTGGTGAACTTTGGAATCATGTCATCAAGTTCCCCTCAAAACCGGTCAGTTTTACAAGAATAAAATTAAGTCCATGCATTATTAAAATACTTAATACAGTATGTATTAAGCTTCTCTATTTCAAGAATGTTTTTTTAAATTTGAGCAATGTTTTAGAGGTTTTTTTTTTCATATAATTGTTTATGTTTGTCTTCCTAGGGTATTTATAATTTTATTCCTTATATATTATTTATGTAATTTTTAGGAACTGATTATTCATGGATAAGTAAGTAGATTTATATGAACTCACTTTGAGGGATCAATGTTTAGAACATCATTAGGGAACTCATTAGTGTATCATGAATTCAGCATTCACAACATTCTTTTTTGTTTTAAATGTTCTTATTTTTAGTTTCAGACAAGAATGTGCTGTAAAACCATAATGGATAGCTCTCGTGTACTTTCACCTTCCCCAGGGATAACATCTCACACAGCCACAGTATGTCCTATGCAGTTCATATTGGTACAACTGAAGTAGACACCCGTTTGGGATTCACAATCAGTATTCCTTTAAAAAATGGAGCCCAATGCTGTGACACAGCAGGTTAAGCTGCAGCCTATGATGCCAGCATCTGATGTGAGCATTAGTTTGAGTCCCAGATACTTCACTTCTGATCTAGCTTCCTGCTGTTGCACCTGGGAAAGCAGGGGAAGATGGCCCAAGTGCTTGGACCCCTGCTGCCCTGCTACCCATGTGGGAGACTCAGATAGAGTTCCTGGCTCTTGGCTTTGGCTGGCTCAGCCCTGGGCATTGTGGCCATTTGGGAGTGAACCAACAGATGGAAGGTCTCCCCCCTACTTTCTCTCATTCATTCACTCATTCACTCTGCCTTTCTTTTAAAAAATGAAATATAGTTGGATTATTGGAATAGTGGTTATATCCCGAATTCCCAGGTTTAATATAGCCAACTCCAACTCCTGACTTCAGCTTTCTGCCAATGCAGACCCTGGGAGGCAGCATTGGTTCCAGACTCCTGGTCATTAGAAACATTTGGGGAGTGAACTCAAAGATTGGAGCTTGCTCTCTCTTCTCTCTCTCTCTCTCTCAGATAAATAAATAGCTAGAGAATAGAGTGAACTGGAAAGAGCATATCAGGAGGCATCATGAGGGGTATTTGACATGCTATGTGTATCACAGCAGTTTAGACACTACTTGAGATGGCTGTATCTCATATTAGGGTGGGGTCAAGTCCTGGCTCTGCCCTTGATTCCAGTTTTGTACTGATTTGCACACTGAGAGGCAACAAGTGATGGCTCAAGTGTTTTGAGTCCTTGCCACCCATGGGAGATAGAATTCCAGCTTCTATCTGGCCCAGCTCCAATTTTGGAGGGCATTTGGAGAGTGAACCAATGGATAGGAGCTCTGTCTGTTTCTTTGCCTTTCAAATAAAAGGAAAATAAATCAATTAATAAAAATTGTGAAAAGAAGGCTTCATGAGTTATAAGGGTATTAGGTGTGTTTATGAAAGCTTTGTTTTACTCTTGCTGGGTTAGGATATAAAATTTCAGGTCTGTGCCCAAAAAGCTCAAAAAATATTGTGCTGGACCTTTATCAATTGTAATAAACTTTCCCAGTGTCTGCGTAGATTTAGAATGAGGGCACATCTTTGCCATTTGGAAAAGAATCAAAATTAGGACTCTTTGTTATTTAAAAGGCATGAACCCTGGGGTAGGGGGGAAGTCACTTCCTGGCCACAAACCCCTGCATCATGTCACATGCCTCACCAAGTGTTATTTAGATGTCAAGTTTCATTGTAACAGTGTTTTCCGCTCCAAATGTCTTACACACTGGGCAATTAGGATAATTATTTCAGAATATATTAATTTCAGAATTGGAGTATCAGTGAGCAATTTGGACAGAGAATTGAGTAACTGGCCAATGTTGGGCAGGTCTTTCTGATTCTGAAATTCACATTTTGATGGAACTGATGCCTTCTCTGCTTTCCGTGTGTGAGGATTCAAGGGTAAATAGTCCTTGATTTGCCCTTCTTGTGGCTCCTAGTGGGGAAGGTGTTTCTTAGGTATGAAATAATGGCACTCTGTATTTCTATTGGCATGATAAAGGGATTTGGATGGAGCATGGTGTAGGGCATCTGGGGAGAACATGTGGTGACCTCACAGGCAGGCAAGGGACCCCTGTCCTGAGACTTGAAGGCCATGGAGGGATTCTTGGTGGATGAGATGTTGAGATGTGGAAGGCAAACTGACAAGGAGAGAACGGTGTGATACACACAGCAACCAGAGGTGGTGGCATTGGAAAATATAAGGACACAGATTTTCCTTCTCTTCTTTGGTGCATTTTTTGGGTAGGGTGGGGAAATTAGTGAAGAAAATACATAATTCTTGCAGAGGCAAAATGTAAGAAAGCCCTGGAGATCAGAAGAGAAGGTGGGCTGAGGGAGGGGCTGCCCTTTGAGGCCTCTTAACAGAGCTCTGTAATTAGCATTGGGCAGGAACAAAGGCAGTTCCAGGGATGCAGAGAGCCCATAAGCCTCAAAAATCTGAAAAGTGAATCAGCTCATCGTCATCAAGTACTTAATTGGGCGCCTGCCAAGTCCACACATGGAGTTCTGTTCCTCATGGCAGAAATATATGCTACTGAGTTTGCATTCACTCTGCTGCCTCAGTCAGTTGTTTCACAGCCAGCATAAATCAATAGCAACCACCCAGGGTGCAGTGATTGTTGGAGGTTCAGTTCACAATGAAGGCAGAACAAACCCCAAACCACAGGCATACCCACTGCCTGGACCCACAGGCATTGCTGAGGCCTGGGAAGCCAGGGAGCCTTTCCAGCCCTCTGAGAGGGCCCTGGGTTTGGAATAATAAATAGTTATTCACTGTTTAATCCTTCACCACCTGCATCCTCTGAAAACCTCAGGCAGTAAAGGGCAGCTTGTTTGGGGCTGGCGTGGGAGGAATTCCAATGAAGCCCTGTGCCCAGATCTGTCCCCCTTGCTGTCACTGTCTCTGTGCACCCAGAGCATAGAGTATGTGGATCTAATGATTTGCCAGCTGACAGAGGGGCCCAGCCAGACACCATCTGACTATGATGGCCACTAGAGAGCCTCTTCCTCTTCACCCTCTCCTGCAACCCAACCCTCTTCAATCATGGGATTGGAAGTTTTTGTAAAGAAATACCAAAGACTTTGATTCTAGTGAGTATTGTTTTTACAGAATTGCTGGAAGAGAGCTTGCAAATGCATAGGAACTAAAAATACTAGACATACCCTCTTTTGGCAATGTATTTGGGGAAATAGGACCTCCCCCCCCAGATTCTGGCAGCAGGTTGAGGACCTGGTAGAAGGAGTGCCGAGCTAGAGGTGACCAACAGCTTCCACGAGTCCTCAGTCACCAGGACTCCAGCACTGGAGGGCTTAACACTTCGCTCCTGGGAAGTTGACCCAGGCTAAGTCAGTACTGAGGAGAGGTTTCCCTGCACAGCACCTGAGGCTGCAGATGGGTACCTGGGAGCACACAGAGCATCACTGAACAGGAGTCTTCCCCTGCAGAATCTGGGAGAAGGAATGGTAGGGCCAAGTCAGAGAAATTGAAGGCTTTGGTGAGTCCCTCATCTCTGCTTGGTAATGTGCTCTTAGATTTTACTACCCAATCTTGAGTTTTTGTCATTTCCCTCTCCAAGGGTCAGCCCCATAAAGTGACATACTTGATTCTTTGCTTTGTCCTGTCTGGAGAGCCATTTCTCTAAAATGAAGGTTTTTGTTTTGTTTTGTTTTGTTTTGTTTTTTTTTTTGAGAGGCAAGGAGAGATAGAGGGAGAAAGACATCAGTCCTGTCTGATGATTCACTCCCCAAATGCCTAAAACAGGCATTACTGGGTGCAAGCTGAGAGCTGGAACTCCATCCAGGTCTCTCACCTGTGTAACAGGGACCCAACTACTTGTGCCACCTTGAGGCTTTCTAGGATGCTCATTAGCAGGAAGCTGAAATCAGGAGCAGAGCTCAGACTCAAACCCTAGTACTGCAGGGTGGGATGTGGGCGTCTTGACTGATGCCTCAACCACCAGGCTACCTGTCCATCACTATGAATGGAAAATCTTAATGTAGTCTGGGGTGAGGGTTTCCTCATGAATAGCACAAATATTTTGTTTATAGCACAAATATTAGAGTCTGGGATCTTCAAAACTTCAGCTTTTGAAATCCGTAAGCCTCTGTTAGAGGCTTTAATTTGGTATCATTTTTCTCAATGAAGCAATGATGCTGCTGATTGAAGGCCATGGAAAGTATAAGGAGTGCAAATGCCTGGAGAGAAAATTTCTCCAAATACCATCCATGGCACTTATTGGACAGAAAGTAACCTTCTATCTGCTTGGATTCCCCCAAGCTGCTAACAGTGTTTTTAAATTTCTTGTAATAAGACATGAAAAAAGAAATGAGATGTAAATAGTAAAATAAAACAATTGATGATTTTCTGGTTACATGGGTACTTAGAAAATCTAAAGCAATCAATTCAAGCACTATTATTGTAGTTCAAAATGTAGAACAGTTGCATGATAAAAATAATATATCTGTGTATATAAAAATCAGTATGCATTGTTGTGATTGTAGTGACCTCAACATTTTTAGTCCTCCATTTTACTGAATATCCTATCATAAACTTGTTTCCCTGTTGTAGGGTGTTCTAAATACTATCTTCAGAGTTGATAGATTTTTTTCAATAGAATTCTTAAAATCAATGGTTTTTTTTCACTCAATCCATTATTGATAAGATGTGAAATACAAAAAAAAAAAAAATCTGTCCATGGTAACAGATAACATGATGATCTACTTTCTCTAACTGAAGGTTTTGGGCTCTCATTTTTTCCTGTTATCTATCATATGGCATACATAATATTATCATCTTTATTTTCCTAAAAAGAATCTTGCCTATCAAAAGCTACCCTGTTACTAAATTTCCATGCAACCACCATAATGCAGTCAATACAGCAGAATCTAATGGAGCAAACTTCTTTATAGTAGAACATAACAAAATCAAGAGGAAAATGACTTGTTTGTGTCAAGTCTGACAAGGAGAAAAGATGCAGAGCTTATTCAAATGCACATGCACTCTCAAGAATGCAGTGTTTTACTGTGTAAGGGATGTGAACAAAAAAGAGCATCTACGATTAGCCAAGGATTGATTGGAAGGTGTCCATCATTTTTAGTATTCAAAGAACTGCTAATGTGCACTACCTGTAAAAGTCATTTTGTAGATGCTAAGCAAAGTGAAATATTATGATAATGGAACTTGAATTTGGTGGGTATATGGTCCTGTTGACATGCTTATTCATGACTGGTGAGGCTTGAAGTGGGAAGAACTCCTTTCAACAATGTTGTGGAAATATTTAGTGAGAGGCATAAAGGTCTTTACATTTTTCTTGACCCAATAGTTTCAAACTCTAAGAATTTATGGCAGTGTTTTCCAGGATAGAAACTCCACATTTGCACAGATTGTCGCTCCCCCTCTTCATGGAGGAACGACACTAAACCCTGCCTAGGCTTCATATCCGAGTCACGGCACCATTATGTCGCTCCCCCTCTTCGTGGAGGAGCAACACAGGACCCTGCGCTGTTCTTTCGTCTGCTCGGCCCTCCCCGGGTTTGCTGCTGGTTCTTCCCGGGTTGGCTACTATCCCTTCCACCTCCGTGGAAGGGCAGTTCCCCCTGGCCGCATTCCCCACTTCCGCAGGGGAGCGGCACACCGCCGGCCGGTTCTCTCGGGGGCTGCACGGGTTCCCTTAGATGTTCCCCATAGATGTTTCTGGTGCATGCCGTCTCTCTCCTCCTTTATAGTCCTCCTCCGCCAATCCCAACTCGGCTGAGTACGCTGCTCTCCAATCAGGAGCAAGTCCTACAGTTAATTGGTTGAACTGGAGGCAGCTGTGCGGAAGCTGTTTACTTCTCTCCCAGCGCCATATTGTGGGAGAGCAGATGCATAGAATAAGTCTTAATTCCAGTAACAGTCTAGTCCGGTTTGCTCCCCACAGATCCCCCTTTCTTTTTATTTTTGGCGTTGATACGCGCCTGTCTTCGGTGTCCCGCGGCACACACTCTGCTCTACTTGCTAGAGTTGCCACAGGCTCTTACAAGTCCTATCAATCAGGAAAACCGAATCCGGGTCCTCTCTTCGCCATTGTGAGGAGGTTTTTAGGCGCTGATGCGTGCCTGTGTTCGGTGCCCTGCAGCGCATGCTCTGGTCGAGCCTGCAGGGGCTTACAAGCTCTATCAGGCAAACCGAATCCAAGCCTTCTCATTGCCTTATTGTGGGGGAGACTTATTAGTGTTGGTTCGTGCCTATCTTCGGTGACCTGCAGCTCATACTCTGGTCGAGCTTTGCTGGCGCTTACCGCCTTGAATCAGGCAGACCGAATCCAAGCCTCCTAATTGTTGCATTGTGGGGAAGCTTTACTGATGTTAATTCGTGCCTGTCTTCGGTGACCTGCGGCTAGCCGCCCAGGTGCTCATCGCCTCACTAATCGGGCAGACCGAATCCAAGCCTTCTAATTGGCATGTTGAGGGGAGGCCTTATTTTTCTCTATTTCTCTATCTCCGGGCATTCCTACCTCTCCCATTTCACTTCTATCTTCCAGCATTCCTATTTCTCTCACTTTACTTCTAAAACTTCTGTTTCTCTTATCCCCGCAGCTTCCCGGCACCTCGCCCCGCCGGCGGGTTCCCGGCTCTGCGCCGCTTCAGCCCGCGCGCCTCTCTCATCTGCGCAGCTTCCCGGCTTTGCGCGGCTCGGCTTTGCGCGCTCCGCGGTCTCCACGCTTAACCCTTTCGCGTCTGAACCACGGCCTACGCCAGCGTTCCCTATCTATTCACGCCCCGTGCTCTCTCTGCACGCGGCGGCTTCCGCGAGTAACACAGCGTAGCTTGCGTCTCCACCACTAGCATTCAATCCAAGTTCCCCGGGCTAGCCTGGCGAATTCAACCCAGCGTACGTCTCCGCCTCACGATTTGGCTTCCCGTCCTTTGCTCCCCGGGCTAATCAGACGGATCCCAATCTGGCTTGCGTCTCAGCTTCTGGTTTTAACTTTTCGCCCCCTATTCCCGGGCTAACTTGAGAACCCCAAAGTGGCTTTCGTTTCCGCCTTGGCCTGCCCCCCGCGGCTTCAATTTCCCTAACATTTTTCTCTACCCGGTATGTTTCCCCAAGCTTTCTTCCAACAATACTCCTCCCTCATTTCTCCTGGCCTCTCCCCACAGTCCGCGTCCGAGTCTGTTTGTTCTAGCTTTCACTTTCGCTTTCGACCTTAGAGATTTCTCCCAGCTTCCCCCCCGTAGTCCGTATCCGAGTCTATGCCTAGGCTTTCAATAGCTTCTTCCGGCTCCTTTTTCGTCCGGCTTTTCCCTAGGCTGTTTGCTAGTCTCTCTCTCCGGTAATTTCCCAGTTCTTCCCGTTTCTACCCTCCTAAGTTTCATATCCGTCCTAAGTTTCCTATCCGAGCTAGGTTTCCTATCCGAGTCATTTCTTCCCTCCTAAGTCTCCTATCCGTCCTAGGTTTCCTATCCGAGTCACGGCACCATTATGTCGCTCCCCCTCTTCATGGAGGAACGACACTAAACCCTGCCTAGGCTTCATATCCGAGTCACGGCACCATTATGTCGCTCCCCCTCTTCGTGGAGGAGCAACACAGGACCCTGCGCTGTTCTTTCGTCTGCTCGGCCCTCCCCGGGTTTGCTGCTGGTTCTTCCCGGGTTGGCTACTATCCCTTCCACCTCCGTGGAAGGGCAGTTCCCCCTGGCCGCATTCCCCACTTCCGCAGGGGAGCGGCACACCGCCGGCCGGTTCTCTCGGGGGCTGCACGGGTTCCCTTAGATGTTCCCCATAGATGTTTCTGGTGCATGCCGTCTCTCTCCTCCTTTATAGTCCTCCTCCGCCAATCCCAACTCGGCTGAGTACGCTGCTCTCCAATCAGGAGCAAGTCCTACAGTTAATTGGTTGAACTGGAGGCAGCTGTGCGGAAGCTGTTTACTTCTCTCCCAGCGCCATATTGTGGGAGAGCAGATGCATAGAATAAGTCTTAATTCCAGTAACAGTCTAGTCCGGTTTGCTCCCCACACAGATAAATTTGTTGCAGCAAAAGAAGAGTGTGGTTAGTTAATGTGTGCTCTGACAGGTCATCGATGCTCTTGGACTTGCTCATCCACAAGTCTCAACAACCTGGTGACCTTGGGCAAGTGACGTAACTAAACTGTGTCCCAGTTTCTTCATGTGATAATCATGATGGGGCCTAAATTATGAGTTGTGGTGAGGATCAAATGAGTTAACAAAAGAGAGTAATTTTAAAAAGTGTAGAACATTGTAAGCACTCTCTATAACAATGATTATGAGAAAAATGTTTTTAAGATATCAACTTAACTACTCAACAATAGGAGAATTGTTTAAAAGTTATGTTACTCTGACATGATGCCGCTTCATAAAACCATTAATATGGTATTTTAATGACTCCAAGACAGAAAAACAAAGTTATGGTAGAATATTGAGCATAATGGAGGGCAAAAATTTCTGAGGTTCCTAAGGTTACAACCATGGAAAATATGCATGAAGGAGGGAAGAGGCAAAGCATCTGTTAGTGTGGGGTAGTTGGATCTGGGTAGTTTGCAGAGCAGTTCCTTTCTTCTTGTGTCACCTTTTTAATTTTAAAAAAGTAAGCTATAACATAAATGAAACCAATTCCTTCTAAACACTGCCTTTGGTTTTGGCTGCTCAGGTGTGCTAAATTGAGAACTTGGAATGAGGTCGTTCATGGAACCTCAGGGGGTGCAGATGCCAGACTCAGCAGCAATAGCAGGGGGTGCACATTGCCATGCCCTGCAAGCCCTAGTCCATTCAGTAAGTGGCTCCAGCCCACTCTGCATGGCCCTGGCCCCTGCTGTGGGAGGCAGGTGATCCCATCCAGCCAGATCATCTCTGTAAGTGAGATTCTTTGTTCCATTTTTTCTGTTGTTTTCTTTTTTTATTAAAGAGTATGGTGACTTTTTTAAAAATACATTGATTTACATTATATATATTGTACACTATTGAGGTATAATTGGCCCACAAAAATCTGCCCATACCGAATGTGCACAAGCTGGTGAGTTTAGACCACCACTACTACTTTAATCAAGGTAGTAACCTTGTCCATCACTTCTGACAGTTTCCTCCTGCACTACTGCCCCCTTTTATTTGTTTTATTGTGGTAAGGACAAGAGAGAGAAATGGGGCATTGTTGTTTAACAGGCATAATGGTTTCAGTTTTGCAAGAGGAATAAGTCCTAGAGAGCTTCTGTATGTCATAGTGCCTGGAGTTAACACACATGTAGCTACTTGAGGGGGACTTGGCTTTATCTGAGAAGATGCTAAGGGCCTCAGCATATGCTGCCATTAGATGGTCCAGGGAAAACATTTGAACAGCACTTCCTGAGGAAGAATTGAGCAGTGAGGTGATTGAGTTGCTGGGAATTTGGCCAGCTCTTGCCCTTGCAGGGATGAGCCTGTACCAGAATGAGACTAGGAAAGGAGGACTAGTTTATAAGAGTATTAAAGGGGAAGATAATCTGGGATCCTTGTCCAAATGCTGGTGCCTTGGATGATAATGGTCCTGTACTGCTATGATATTTAGATTCTGGCCTTCCAGAGATACTCAGACTCTAGGCAGAAAGGTGTGGCTTGAGGCCAGATCACTTCTTTGTTTTGCCACTAAGATGACATCTGTGCATCATAGCAATACACTGCAGTGGTGGGCCTTGTGTTTACTGCTTGATGTGTTAAGAACAAGACTCATGGGCCCAACAAGACTGATTGTATTGGCTCATTCATTTTCTTAAGTAATATTTGAGGTCAACTGTGGGTCAGACACTATTCTAGGCTCTGGAGATATGTTGAGGGCAACAACCAATCCATGCCCTCAGAAAGACAATGTTCTCTCTGTACAGATGACAATGAATAGGTTGGCAATGGCACATATCATTTCATGTGCCTGAGATGACAAAAAAAAAAATAAAGCAGGAGAGAGTGGAGAGTGACAAGTGTAAGAGGACCACTTCAGGTAGAGTGGGGGATACTTCAAGGGAGTTACATTTGGTCAATGGGCTAACTGCAATGAGGAAGTGAGATCTGAGATCTACATGAAACATAACAGGAAATGTTTTGCCTCTACATAAATATACCTAGAATCCAGACACTTCTCCCAGTCTTCACTGCCAACTCTCTGGACCAAATCACCATTAATATTTAATCCTCCATCACATCTGGTCTATTCTCAACACAGCCTCTAGGGTGTGTTTTTAGAACTCAAAAGTTGTACAGTGCAATTTTAGTGCTGAAAGTCATGAATGACTTCCCATCTCATACAGTCAAACTTCAAGTTCTTATCATAGCCTTCAAGGCCTGATGTGAGCTGCTGTTTGTCTCCTGTGGCTCTGTGAACTAGGATGAGTGCTCTGCACAGTGTGGGCTAAGGCCTTTCACCCCAATTATCATCCTAAACCTGGAGGAACAAAGCCTTCTGTCACTTCCCTAGGCCCATTGTTGACTCTGGACAGCTCCCAGGAGGCTGGAGACAATGGAGACTGCAAGAGCTGAGGACTAAGAGGGATTCCTATCTCACAATCCCACTCCTAGAAAACAATGAGAGAATTTGGTCAATGGCAAGGGCTGAAATCTATTGTGTTTAGGTAACTAAAATACACATCACCAATCTGGATATTTTGACAGTGAACTTTATCTGTGCATTGAGGTTGCATTCATTTTGCTAGTTCTGACATCTGATGGAGACCAGAGATTCTTTTTTTCTAGTGGTCTGAAAAAAGAACAGGTAAAACACAGTATTCTGGAGGCTGGGCCTGAAAGGGGCACACATCAGTTTCTACCTAATTCCAATGGCCAGAGCTGATCATAAACCCCTCCTGGATACAAAAGGATAGGTAGATATTTGCCTGTGTGCCAGGAAGAGAAAGGTTTGGAGATGATCTGGCCATGTCCTGCCACACCTGGAAGAGCTGGCTCCTGTGCATGAGCTGGGTCTCAATGTTGAGAATTCCAGGCAGGTGAAATGACATGACAGGCTGTGTTCACTCTTCTGACAGAACTTGGGCCTTAGTCAGCACACCTAATGCTATGGCTTAAAATAATATCTCTACTCAGGCACCCCAGGCATTTTTATCTCCAATTCAGACCCCCTTCTGAACTCCACACTTGAATGTTGTTATCCAGCTGCCCACTGCAACTCTCTGTTTGGGTACTTAATGTGTCATTCAAAAGTAATACTTCTAAAATGGAACTCCTGAATTCTTCCCTGTCTCTCCAAACTTCCTCTTCTCAATGAAAAGTAATTGCATCATGCTAGATACTCAGGAAATGGCTTCTACAGTAATTTAGCTCTTTGCTAATATATCTAGCTCATCTACAAGTTCCTTTGGTTCTATCATCAAAACAGCAGCATTTTCCATAGATTTTCTTTCTCTTTGCTAATGCCACCTTTGACTTAACCACCATCATATTTTGCCTGGAGTTTTGCAATGTCTTAATGGCAGATTTCCCAGCTTTGTTCCTTGGCTCTTGTTTCCAGACATTCAAATTTCTATGAAAATGACAGGATCTCTCAGTAGAATCTTTTGAAAAAAGAAATCCCATTTTCAGAGGTCCATGGTCCCCAGAACTTTTCCAGGACCACTTCCACTCTCTTTAGAGGTACCCAGACCTGCAGGCTCTGTGTGGAAGAGATTTACACTAAGCCCTTGGTCTGAGTAGGTTGGAAGCCAGTGTCAAACAGATAAAGTCTTTCTAATTCAAGGCGTATTTTAGGAATGGTGCACATCTCGGAGCTGTCCGGATACCTGTTGTTGTCAAAGTCTACCATCAGAATGTAAAATTCACACTATACAAACTAGTGCTTAGAGTACAGAAGGTTTATTGGACAGAGTAGGTGGTCGTGAACAGAACAAGGGACATACAGAAATGAACTGGACAGTGCCCCTGCCCTGTCATCTCTTCCACATGGACAGAGAAAAATTAGGCTTGGAGAGGTCCCATCACATGCAGAGGCTCACAGAGCACAGCTGGGATGGTCTGGCCCCCAGGGCCAGAGAGGGGCAGTGCCTCCAGTCTATGTCACATAGCTAGAAAGGGGCAGGTTGGTGATGGTAGATGAAATGATGCTTTTCCTTTGGAATAGAGAGGGAAACTGAGCCCTCTGGGGAGCCAGGGAGTGTACGTAGAGGTGGCCCAGAGAGGGGCAGGGCAGCATAGCCATGTCTCAGTGGAGATAGTGCAAGCTGTGGCAGTTCCCCTGATGACCTGGAAGCTGTGCAGGCAGGGCGGGTGGAGCTGGCAGGTGGGCAGCAACCCAGCACAGGTGTAGCTTGGTGCTGCTACAGGTGACTAGAGCACCACAAGGCCTTGTTGCAGGTGCTGCATATGAAGGGCTTAGTGTGATGCATGGTGGCTCTGCAGCAACAGAGGACTGGTGAAGACACTGGTGCACTTAGGTAGCTGTAGCTCTAGTGAGGCTGGGACTCCCTTGACTGCACAGTGCACATGTAGAAGACCTGGCTGGCACTGGCAAACCTTGTGGTGGAGGGAGGAGTGGAAGGAGAGGCCTTGGGGGGGTGGTAAGATGGGGGTGGAGATGAGGGCCAAGGTGGGGGGACCATGGTGGCATCTTAAATGGCAACTGAGGAGAGGAGAGAAGTTAAAATCACTTCCTTCCCTTTTTCTCACTGCTTGTTACCCATTTCTAGGCCTTATTTTTTTTAAAGATTTATTTATTTATTTGAAAGAGTTACACAGAGAGAGAAGAGGCAGAGAGAGAGAGAGAAAGACAGAGAGAGAGATAGGTCCTCCATCTGATGGTTCACTCCCCAATTGGCTGCAACGGCTGGAGCTGCACTGATCCAAAGCCAGGAATCTCCTCCAGGTCTCCCACATAGGTGCAGGGGCCCAAGGACTCAGGCCATCCTCTACTGCCTTCCCAGGCTACAGTAGAGAGCCAGATCAGAAGAGGAGCAGCCGGGACTAGAACTGGTGCCCATATGGGATGCTGGCACCCCAGGCCAGGGTGTTAATCCACTGCGCCACAGGCACCGGCCCCCTTTCTAGGCCTCAACTGACCTTACCTCCAAAATGAACACTGACTCCAGACCAGGTCTGCAGATTCCGTAAAGATGCTCCTGGGCCACCTCCCACAGAACTCAGCAAGACTGGGGGCAACCTGTCCTTGCCCCTGAGTCCTCCACCCGGCCTGCTCAGAGCCTGAGTGATGTCCTCCCTCTTCACTTCCCTATCCTCTGTGCACCAGCAGCAATCAGTTTCCAAGTCAGTTTCCTTCTTTTATCTTCTCAGCCTCCCTGTCCCACAACTGGGGACTGCCTGGCTCCTCCCCTTGGGCTATGCCTAAGCCTGGGGGATTCTCCAGACACCACCTGGAAAGCATCCCTTCTCTGCAGACATCTCTACCTGTCGATTTCACCCCTGGGATTTCCCCAGAACCCCACTAACCCAATTCCCTCCACACCTGTAGGCCTCTCCATCCTCCTACACTATGGCACCCCTCTTGCAGATCTTTGGGATGCCTCAGACACCTTCCCTCTCAGCACTCCAGGGCCCCTGTGTCCTGCTGCCTGCTTTGTTATGAGGCACTGATCTTTACTTCTCTCTGTCCTCTCCTAGTCCACGTTACACATACCAGGACAGTTGGGGTCCCTTTGCCAAATTGTACTTCAGCAGCCCCCTTTTGATAAATGGCTGGCATCTGTTTCACTTCTTTTCTACCTCCTCAGCCCCCTGCCTTGCCCCCATATGCAGTAGGCCCTTGTACCTGTTTTTGGGTCTGTTTCCCAAACAGCTTCTCTGGTCCCCTCCCTTCTGTAAGCCCCATCCACATCCAGGCATCTCTGCTCCCCAATCCTGCCACAGAATCTGAGGGCCTGCTCCT